GTGTGTGTGTGTGCGTGTGTGTCTCTCTTTAGGATCACTTTAACCCGCCGAATGTTTCACAGAAGTGGTCTCCCTCTCGTCAGCCTCGAACTCCCTGAAACGCTTAGGTTCCTGCTCTCGTGGTCACCAGAGTCCCAGACCGAGACTGAGCCGTCCACACAGACACAGCCAACGCCGTTTGTGCCAGACGAAAGGCTCGTGTAGCACGTGGCGTCCGGGAGTTTACCCCAAGAGTTTGCAGAGAGCGCTTTACATTCTAATGGGCATGCAGCAAGAGGCTTTAAACCAAGCTTCAATAGAGACATCACTGTGGAGCCGGCCAGGCGTCCCCAGCGAACCTAAAGCCAGTAGACCTCTTATTGCATCTACACCCCCCCCCCCCCCCCGCGGAGCACTCATCAGGGTCATCGCTTTTGATATGTTCTTTAGGCCTCGCAGCTTTCGGGGCAGAATTTCAGGTTTTGGGCTGTCTGTGCAGTTGAATGAATGTTATTCCGGACCCCATCCTTCTGATAAGTGCGCTAGACTTTGAATCAGAACCCCAAGTCAAGGACATGCGATCATTTGAGCTTCAGTCAATGTTCAGGTGAGAAGGACCTCTAATCATTGTGTAGTGCGGCAGCCCACGTGAAACTCATGTCTGTGAGGCTGCGCAGGGAGTTTTGGCAGACGAGACATTCGATGTTCAGTGACAAGGTGATTTTTCAGTGTTGACGCGAGGCGAGCAGCAGCGATAATCGCGGCAACAGTAGACCTAGTAATGGTAGCAAGGACACTTCGGGTCATTACTATTACAACAGGCAGTAAGACTTTTTAACAGTGGCAACTACGCATGACACGTAGCTTAGCTGTGAAATGTCAAGGAAGCATACGGTTCATACTTGTACGTGTAAGACTCCCCAGTTCTTGCACACAGTCACACATTGGGTTGAGCAGACGCCCAAAGCGGTGTGAGATATACGAAATGACGTAACCCGAACACCAGATAGATACGGGTTGATACCGGTAATCAGTACAGACATGAATCAACCCGACTCGTCCCAAAAACGTCCAAAAACCCGANNNNAACCCTAAACCCTAAACCCAATGGAAGGCTGGTGCTCAAACACCACTGCTGGAATGTTCGCGAGCAGCCTTGGGCATTGCCTCAGCAAGTGGGCCGGAGACGCCTTGCCGTGCGCCTTGCCGCTTTCACACCCTAAGGGTCCATGTACCTNNGGGTTTAGGGTTTAGGGTGGTCCATGTACCCATATAGTAGATAAATTGGCCCCAAAGTACCCAAGTAGGGACTACTTCAAGGCCAAAGTATATACTATTTAGGCACATGAACCCTTAGGGACAAGTAGCATCACCACTCTGATTGTCACGATGAGCCTCACTGTTCTGACTGTTCTTGGTGGTGTAACATTGATTGCTCTTGTTCCTGTAGCAAGGCAGATGTGTGGATCAAGTGTGTAGAAGGCACATCCAGACCTGCATGCACATTCACAAAAACTTGCAGTTGAAATAGTTAGGGGTTTAGGGGTTTAGGGTTCAGAGGTTTAGGGTTTAGGGTTTAGGGGCACAATATACCACCTGCACAGACGGCATGGCACATGTACCCAGAACACCATGAAGGCTCACGCGAGCACACAAGATTGTACAGAAAACAACTGTGTAGATGCTAAGCATGCCTCTACTTCAGCCGGTGCATTCCTAGCCTAGTTTGCGGTAGATCAGGCCAGAGACGGATGCTGATCGGCTGATCAAGTTCGGAAACCTCTTTGACGATGACAAGAACGCGCGACAAGGCGTGTCCACTTGGCATCGCATGGCATATTGGCCGTTCAGCATCTTTCCAGGTCAGAGAGTCATCTGCCAGTGAGCCAAGCATGTTGGCGGCGTGGTTCAATCGTAAGTGCCTGCAGGTCGAACGGTTTGGGTGGTTTCACATCCTTTCGAAGGACGGACCAGAAGCGAGACCCAGATGCAAGCAGAAAGTGCATGAGTCGTTGCTGTTTCTGATTCAGAATGGTTACCAGTGTTCCTGAACTGGTGCCGGTCGGGATGTCGATAGCCATCATAAAGCCCGTACCTGGTGGCAAGGAAATCCGGATGAAGAGGAGAAGGATACGGCGCCAAACCGACATCCGCCGAAGACGAGCAAAGCAATGGCACGACGAGAACGACGACGAGCGCGGCTATGACACGCCGCTGGAGGACTACGAGCCCGGCTATGGCACGCCGTTGGACGCCTAAGCAAGTTATTTCTAACAACGGTTCAAGTTCAAGGCCATGGCTTCCGCTTTAACTTTCTCTGAGAACAGAGAACCACTTGGGGCGCTTCCGAGTCTGTTCGGAAATTTCGGTCAGGAACTGACCAGAGCTTTAGTTTAGGGTGCTGTTAGATGCAGTACGGCTGCTACAGTCAGCGTCAGCGATTGTACAGTGAGCATCTTACGAACAAAACGGAGGCAGGCATTGTGCCATTTTGCCATGCCCATTCTGGAAGCCTGCAATGTCTGGCTGTTGCTCCGCCTTCCAGGAACCGCTCTGATCCAGACCCGGCCGATCCTTCAGATCGTAAGGCACACGAGGGCTTTGCCGGGTCCGATACGTGGAATCAACATGGAGGTTCCATGAAGAACCACTGTCAGGTTCTTGCGGCCACTGTCGCGGTGGGGCACCTCTTTACTGTGAACGACTCCTCCATCGGCGTGGTGGTGAAGAGGTCGGCATGAATAGCTGGAAGTATCAGGAGGAAAAGTTTGGCGCCAACTTGTTTTATGAAGGATTGATGGTCACAGGTTACGGGCTGTTCAACCATCCAGCCAAGCATCCATGGATGGATGCCATGATGGATGTGTGTGTGTGTGTGTATATATGTGGATGTGTATGTGCATGAATGTATGTGTGCATGTATGCAGTTTACTGCAAATCGCTTCTGGCAACAGCTGTTTGCAAGGTATTTCTCCCAGCTCTTCGGAACCTTCCTGCTGCGCATTGGGACGTCGACGGAGGGCTTGAGTGCCAGGGCCCTAGCATATGAAGTTGGTGCAAGATGATCTCTGCCTCCACTGCAACCCCGACTTCGTGCATCGAACGGACCGCACAGGGACTCTGCCGTCGCTCTTCTGCATTCAAAAATAAACACCAGACTGCATTGATCCTCGAGCCTAATTATGAACCCTGAACCCTACAGACCCTGAAGCCTGAAGCCTGAACCCTAGATAAGACTAGGTTCAGCCCACCTAGAACCCGAGCCTGAGCCCTCCTGAAAACCCGAAACCACCAAAGCCCGACGAGATCCGATGCCTTGGCGAGGCCCAGCAGGCCGCAGCAACTTTCATGAACTTCCTCCATGCCAGTTCCAACGATTCGATGGCCATGGTCCGTGGGCCCAGCAGAGGAAGAGGGTTTAGGGGCTTTGGGTTTTGGGGTTTGTGGGCTCCTGAAGGGGGAACCGGGTGAAGGCTTAGGGTTTCCGTGGTTCGTGGGCAGTGCGGGAGCAGGGTTTAGGGTTCAAGACGTAATGGGTATGGGGTGCTCGGCCCGGCGGGATTTGAGAGGTTCCAGTCCCACAGGCCGTGAGGTCGCCTCCAAATGGTACTTTCCGAAAATTAGGGTACCTTATTTCGGGGTTCTTATAATAAGGAACCTATTATATAGTACCCAGGGTCCCCTATTTTTGGAAACCCCCAAATAAGTATCCTGCACCAGCAATGTCTTGCCATCCTGCCGCATCCGCCCCGGGATCTCTGTCCATCATCAACGCGCCACAGCCGCGAAGCACCATCCAAAGAGAGGCCCCCTGTAACTATGCAAGAGAGCGCCCAAGCCACTACCAGGGAAGCACTATACACCTCCAGGCATCTCCAAACCACGGCGGCTGGAGCTCGTCAAAACCGGACGCCACCGCCGCTACACACGCCCACATAGAATGAGGTGGAGACATGTACTGTATACCATCCAACTGCGCCAAAGCGATACCACCATGGGAGGCCCTGCAGCCTAGTAAGGACACAGGCCGCCTGGCACCTCCGGTGTAACTGTACAGACGTATCTGGATGAAGGCCAAGGCAGGGGAGCCTCGACCGTGCACAACCAGTGAACTTTACACCGTTAGGCTGCACCAGGAACGCCCTGAAGAGCGAAGCATCCTCAAGCAAGAGCCGAACGCCACAATTGAGGGCCAGGCAGCCAAAGATGCCAAGCGTGAGGCCGCCAAACTCCTCCTCTCCATCTGTACACCTCCATGCTGTGCCACCAGTGACGATGCCCCGAAGAGCGAAGTCACCACACCGTAGCAGCCTCAAGCGTCGTGCTTCCTAATGCACAGGCCACCACAACACCTGCACTTACGACGTATAGCGGCTCCTGTCCGGAGAGGGGAACAAGGGCTTTGAAGTTCGAGGCCCACCGGTTTTGGGGACTGCACTTCCTGACGACCATGAGGATCATGATGAGTCTAACGTAAAGACCTGGTATTGTGGCAGATCCGTGTCGTCTGGATGGCGCTGCCGTGCCGCCATGGTGGGCTCGTTTGCAGAACCCTAAACCCTAAACCCTAAACTCTAAACCCTAAACCCTAAACCCTAAACTCTAAACCCTAAACCCTAAACTCTAAACCCTAAACCCTAAACCGGTGGCCTTGGAATTTGTGATGTCCTGGAACCCCAGAGCCGGAATCCTGTCTGGAGCTTTCCTCCCGAAGCCTAGATCCCCCAGCCTTACACTACCCATAGGCCCCATAGTAGTTCCCTTTTGGGTTTAGGGTTTAGGGTTTAGGGTTTAGGGTTCCATAGTAGTTCCCTTTTGGGATGACCTTATAGGATTCCAAATATGAACCCCAAAAAGGAACTACTATGGGGCCTATGGGAAGAGTCTCGAGCACCTTCAACCCGAAAACCGGTCTTAACTATAAAGCCCGTTAGCCCTAAACCCCGGTAAGCCTTAGACCCTCTTTAACGCCGAAACCTTGAAAAAACCCTTAACCCTAAACCCTAAACCCTAAACCCTAAACTCCCTAAACCCCAAAGCCGCCTCAAAACAGGAAGACTCAACACCTGGACCCTAAAGTCCCAGATCCGAGACTCAGGCGTTGGAAGGAAATCGCCTCGCCAAAGCGGGGCACTAAGCTTTGGCCTTGTTAAAAGGGTTTAGGGTTTAGGGTTTAGGGTTTAGGGTTGATGGTGTAAGGTTTAGGGCGTCGGGATATTGGTGTACGGTTTGAGATTAGTTTGAGGTGGGGAGGGTTGGGGAGTGGTCTTTTTAGGGAGGACCCTTAATTGTAGTGAGGATTTAGAACTTGTAAGGTTGAGGGTGTGGTCTCCGTGGGGTTCAAGCAGACATCTTTGGGATGTAGGGCATGATGTCAAAGCCATGGATTGCTGTGGAGGTCTGGTTTGTTGTGTCTACGGTTGTAGGTGTAGGGTTTGGGGCTTCAGGTTCGGTTCAGTTGCTTCGACGGTTTAGGGCTTCAGGTTTGGATGTCACGTTTGGTTGCAGACACTACCCTTGAATCGTCAAGCCAAGATAGGCCAGAGCTTAAGAGTATCGGGTGCAGGGAACTTGGGGTGAGCATGTGAGGTTCAGGAGTTGGGCCTCATCGGAGGATGCAGCATCAACTTGAGGTGCTTCTGTCCAACTGCGGCTTACAATCTAGTGGAAAACGAAATTATACAGATATATATATATATATACACATATTATATATATATATATATGCGCATGCAAAATACGCAGCAGCGACCAAATCAGTCTGAAAACGGTCATGATACGAATACTTGTTTGGGCCGTTCTTCACGATCCTCGCATCGCAGCGGTGTCGAATCTACCTGGCCCTTTGAAACAAGCCCGGTTTGGCCGAATCCGGGGGCTTTAAGCTTGGGCGACCCTGGGCTCGAGGGCCTAGGGCCCTCGGGTTCAGGGCCTGGGTTTAGAGTTTAGGGTTTAGGGCATCACTCATATGGGGGTTTCCGAAAATAGGGGACCCTAATATAGTACCCTAAATAGTAGGATCCATATTATAAGCACCCCCAATAAGGTACCCCCTATTTTCGGAAACTCCCATATGCTTCGAAGCTGCTGCTTTTGGGAGATGTCCTGCTGCGGGCTTGGCCATCTAAGCCACAGCCGAGGTGACGAAGGAGTTTTACGATGAGGTCGTTTGTGAGCTGGCCTCTCTCTACTGCCGGCACCAGCCAAGGCTGGAACTCAACACTTCGAGTCTACGGGCGTCTACTTGCATTACTTGGAGGATCATGGGACTTAGTAAGTAAGGTTATAAGTCCCCTAATTGGGGTTATAAGTATAGTTACCCTAATTATAACCCTACTTATAACTACCCATGGAACCCTAAACCCTATAGAACCCTTTAAAGGAACCCTTAAAGGAACCCCAAATAACCCTACTTATAACTACCCATGGAACCTCCAAGTAGATCGGCAGCATCTTCGCAGGGCTAGGGACGCAAAGATGACCTGTGGCGGCCTTCGGAAGGCGACGGGAGACCCTCCTTCAGTTCATGCAGCCGTTCCAGGCTTCGGCAGGGTTTAGGGTTTAGGGTTTAGGGTTTAGGGTTTAGGGTTTAGGGATGTTGAACTTTTGCTTGCTGACGTCGCCGGGAGAAGAGTGCCACTTGTCTTGCTCGCATGAAGGCAAGCAAGAAAGTTGGCCACCGTGTGGTTGCCACAACGACAATGTGATCGCCTGAGTTTGTCCCAGTCTGCACGCGAAGGCCAACCGACTCTCCTGAGCCTACCACGATGCTAGTCGCATGAAGTCCTCGAACTGGAATTCGGAAATGCGAGCTCCTTGTTGTAATTCTAGTATAATCTAGTATACCCCAAAACTCCTAGAGAAGCGCCAGGCCAAACGGGAGTTTTGGAGTGCAGACTGAGGTCGCAGTTGATGCTCAGCAGCATGGACGTGGCGATGAGCATAGAAGCAACGCACACCATTCTTGGAGGTGCACATGCATTTATTTGCGGTATATCTATCTATACTATCTATACTATCTATACTATCTATCTAGCTAGCTGGCTAGCTAGCTAGCTATCTATCTGTTTACTTATAGTTATGTACACACATTGACATGTGCATCCACGTATGCATGTCTTTACACCTTTCGGCATAGTGTTTGGATCTTTGGCAGGTTGTATCTACGCACCATCGGACATACAGCGATATACATCTCGTGGGCTACCTTCAAGTATCTTCATCTGAGCCCTGGGTAGACTCGACATTCTCTTCAGACA